TTTGATAATTTTTTGGCTCATGAATCATCTCCAGCTTGAGGGACGTATGGAAAATTGAAGTAACCTATTTCACTTTTTACTGCCAGTTTCATAATGGTTTGAGAACTATATATATCTGTGATGTATGTTTAAGGAGCTCTGGTGGTGTAGTGGTTAAGGCATTTGGCTACTAAACAAAAGGTTAGTGACTCAAACCCATCAGCTACCCTGTAGAAGGAAGATGAGGCAGGCTGCTTCAGTAAAGATTTACAGCCTGGGAAACCCAGTGGGGGTCACTCTGGTCAGAATCCACTCAATGGCAGTGAATTTGCTTTGGTTTGGTGATGTATGTTTGCATTACTGTCAGTCACTGAGAACTAAATATGTAAAGGAGGGGCTACCTAAAAGAATGGGTTTATTTTCCCTTAGATGTTTCTTTTATGATGGAGGTGGCAACTTCAACCATTGTAAAACCCAAGTGTTTATGGTGGTAGATATTCTCTTAGATGATTCTGCCTTTTCCATCCCTTCTTCTTTACCACTTCAAGTACTACTTCTGCAGATCTCATTCTTGGTAAGAGAGAAGAGTGGTGTGGTACTAGTAAACAGTGAGCTAAGGTATAAGAAGATCCCAAATAGTAACACAAAGTTCATAGGGCTCCAGTACCACCTAATAGGACTATGTAATATATTATTCACTATTATGTTGTTGTTGTTATGTGCCCTGACTCATAGCGACCCCTCCTTGGGTTTCCGAGGCAGTAATACTACGGAAGTAGGATTGCCCAACCTTCCTTCCGAGGAGTGGCTGGTGGGTTTGAACCGCCAGCCTTCTGGTTAGCAGTCAAGTGCCTTAGCCACTATGCTACCAGAGCTCCCATTCACTATTATAGGACTATGTAATATATATTCACATATACTACTGACATCCATAAAATGGATTTATAGAAGTCAAGTTCTTTTTATGAATATAATGCTTGAGAGCATGGGCTAAGTTCAAATTCCAGATCCATGATTTACCAGCTGTGTGCTTTGGACAAGCTGCTTAATCAGTCCTTAACATAATTCTTTACTTTATGGTGAAATAGGAATTATAACATTACTTATCTCTTATAGGTAGGTAGATTAGGATTAAACAGATAGAGGTAGATGAAGATTAAACAAGTTTCTAACTGAAAGGCATGTAGAATGGTGCCTGTTGCATGGTGAATGGTCAATAAATATTAGATACCATTGTCTATTGCATGCTTTATTTGTGAAATCATATTATTACTAGGGGGCACACTACTCCTTTTGCTTGGGCTATGAAAAGGAAAGTTGTCACTGTATCCTGCATCTGTCAAATTATTTATTGTCCTATGTCTGTTTGTATACCCTACATGCTGTACTTAACTACCAATATCAGATTTTAAGCACAGTTAAATAGGGATCACCATCATATTCAGTGGACAGAGATTTAATTGACCCCATTTTTCTTTGCACCTAAACTTGAAATTCAAATAGCTGTTATTTTGTTTTATGAATTAAATATGTAATCAAAGAAATGTGTAAAGGAGATTCCCAATTGGAAAGCAATGAGAAGAGTTAGAGGATATTTATTTTAAATGGTGTTTTTCTGTCTGTTAAAAAAAAAAAAAAAATGTTCTATAAGGAAAACATTCCATATTTCCATCCCCACCTCAAACTAAAATTTACATCTACATCCACTGTGGTTTGATCTGGGAAGGCATAACTTTACCCAAAGCTGTTTTTATCATCTTACTAAAAGTTTACATTATGCTTCTCTGGGTTAAAAGTACCTGTTCTAAATATAGAAAACTCTTAGAATGATTTAGCATAATTTCTCATGCTTTAAGAAAACAAAAATGGATTTCTGTTTTATAAATTTAAGGCATTGACTAATATGTCAGAAATGCTTCTAAAAAGAAATGTATTTTTTATCTCTTGACGATTTCATGTGCCCACTGTATGCCAGTAACTGTGCTGATTATTGAAATTACGCATGGAACTAAAACATAATTTAAAAGAAGTGCAAAGACATGAGAAAATTGAAAATATATGAATTGAGTGCTACATTTCAGATACTAGAGAAGTACAGAGAACAAAGCAAAACAGCCCCATGAGGGGTGGTTATGGGGGCAAGGATGCAGAAAATAATTCCAAGATGATGCTTGAGCTGAAAGGTTAAGGATGATTAGGATACAAAGGGAGAAGCTTGAAGAAACATGTAAAGGCCAGCCAAGCAGAAGAAACCACGTGCAGCAAGGCAGGGAGATAGATGAGAACATGGCACTTAGGGGAGACCAGCAAGCAGGTCACTGTGATACGAATGAAGGATAGACTTGAAGACATGGTTAGTACCAGTCCTGAGCTTATACAGGCATCAGCCTCTGAAGGTTCTTGTAAAGCAGGTCAAGGATTTTTAACTCATTCTGAAAGTAGGAGAGAATCATGAAAAGGTTTTCAAGAAAAGTTTTATTTTCCTATTTGCATTTTAAAAAAATCCCCCCTGGGAGCAAGGATGAAGGTAGATTGGAAGAGAGCTCAATTAAAAGAATTCCAGTTAGGAGGCAATTATAATAGAAAACATTATGAGTTAAGGCAGTTAGTGCAAGAGTAGAAAGGAAGGAAGAGATTGGAGAAATATACAGAAGGTATAATTAACAAGACTTAGTGATTAATGTCAGTCTGAGAGAGAAAGAAATTGAGAATAATTTCCAAAGCTGAGGATGGGTGCTTCCCTTCTCCAAGATAGGGAATCAAGGAGAAGCAACAAATGAGAAATTTTGTTAGTTATATGTTTTTACACCGGAGCTCTGGTGGCATAGTGCCTAAGGCATTTGACTGCTAACCAGAAGGCTGACAGTTCAAACCCACCAGGCACTCTTGGGAAGGAAGGTTGGGCAATCTACTTCTGTAGTGATACTGCCTCGGAAACCCAAGGAGGGGTCACTGTGAATCAGATCCAACTCCAAGGCAGTGAGTTTGGTTTTATTTTCTATTTTTTATAAGAGTTGGATTTTACATATGGGGCTCGCCATATGCCCTGGGGTTTCCTGGTAGAGAGAACCAGTTGGCTGTTAGAAACACAGACTTAAAATTCCACAAATGTAATTAGGAAGTAAAGAGTGAAGATAGCAACCTATGTACGAGTGTTTGCAATGGCATGTATATGTGATCACAGTACATGGTAATTATATGTGATCTTACTAAAAATACGTAAAAGAATAAGAGCTAAAGATAGAAACGTCCAATAGAAATTAGCAATATTTAAGATCCCAGAAAAAAATGGTGATTCTAAAAGGTTCCTGAGAGAGAGTGGTAAAATACATAAAAAGCCAAAAGAAAAAAAAAAAAAAATGCACTAGAAACTACGGAACAAGAGAGGTTAAGAGAGAGGAGAATTAATATATGCATAGGAAGTTTCTGAACATCCATACACCAGACTGTCAGTAGCAGCCAGCTCCAGGCTGTGGGCTGAAGAAGAATGGCAAAAGAACTGAGCATTTTAAGTTTCTCACTCTTTCTCACTCAAAATACCCTTTAGTGTCTTTGTTTGAATTTTTTTTATATATAAAAAGATATGTTATACCTTTCTGTTCTATTTTTGCAACTTCTTGTGAGCTTACAATTATTTCAAAATGAAAAGTTAAAAAAAAAAGTAATGTTAAAATGCAAGTATTTGCAATGGAAAATGAAAAACAAATCCATCAAATACATAAGTATAATCAGAACAGAAGAAGGAGGGAAAGGGTACTGTGGAGTGGCCAACAGAGTCATACATCAGATAGGTCAGAAAAGATAAGGACAGACAGGAGCCTTTTAGCGTGGTATTTAGATTTGGTCACAAGTGACCTTATCAAAAGCAGTTTCACTGAAAGACTGAGGGCTGAAACACATTTGCATTGTTGAGAGGTAAGAGCATGGAGAGGTGGCATAGCCATCTCATCAAGAAGCTTGACTTTGAAGGAGAGAGTGGATAGGGACTTAGGGCCCAAGGGTGAGTTAAACTGTTTGCCCAGAATCCTTGTGGTGGCAAGAAACCACTTGCCACTGAGTTGATTCCAACTCACGGTAACCCCATGTTTGGCAGAATAGAACTGCTTCATAGGATTTCTATGGCTGTGAACTTTCAGAAACAGTTTGCTGGGCCTTTCTTTCAGGATGCCTGTGGATGGATTCAGACTGCTAACCTTTCTATAGTAGCTGAGAACATAATTCCTGGTGCCAAGAAAGAGACGCATAACAGTACTTTAGCCATTGATTGTAAGGCACCCAGGAACATGAAGTAGTGTGAGTAGTTGACTATCAGTCCCATCATTCCATATCCCAGCTTTTCTAAGACTTGGACTTGCAGGTTTTATAAGGAATTGAAAAAGATACTCAACAAAAGTTTGGGGTGAGAAGAGACATGAGTTTATATATAGACCCAGATTTATATACAGGCACACCTTGTTTTATTGCGTTTCACAGATACTGGTTTTTTTTGAAGGTTTGTGGCAACCCTGCATCGAGCGAGTCCATCAGTGCCATTTTTCCAACAGCATGTGCTCACTTTGTGGCTCTGTGTCCCATTTAGTAACTTTAAGAATATTTTAAACTTTTTCATAATGTTATTGCACACTTAATAGACTATAGTAGAGTATAAACATAACTTTTATACACACAGGGAACCCAAAAAATTTGTGTGACTCACTTTATAGCAATATGTACTTTATTGTGGTGGTCTGGAACCAAATCCACAGTATCTCCAAGGAATGTCTGTGTATTTGCTGGAGGCCGTGTACTAATAGAGGTCAAGTGCTCTAAAGTGCAGAAGAGTCAAGGTACGTATTAAAGAATGCATTTAATTTGGAAAGCAAGCCCGGCTGTTTCTGGGAATGAAGTTTGATTAAAAAAATGCCAAACTCTCCATGTTCCAAAGTCAAAAGGATCTATTTTAAATATATATCCACACTTGAAACAATGAGATGCTATACATAATCAAGTCAATGTCTTCTTCTTTTTCTTTCCTTCTAAAGCCGAACAACAACTTATCCTTACACAGAAACGCAGATGTACAGCCAAAACACTGGAGGGAATTACTTTGATACTCAAGGGAGTTCTGCACAGGTGACCACGGTAGTCTCGTCCCACAGCATGGTGGGCACTGGTGGCATTCAGATGGGCGTCACTGGAGGACAACTCATCAGCAGCTCGGGAGGAACCTACCTTATCGGCAATTCTATGGAGAATTCTGGCCACACAGTGACACACACGACTCGGGCTTCCCCAGCGACAGTAAGTGTCTGCATTTTTATCGGGTTCATTTTGCTCCTTGGTAGCCTCTGCGATATGTAACACAGACTAGGCTGAGACAGGGATGAGGTCAGCAGGGTTAGTCTTGTGGTATTCTGTAGAATATAGTATGTATAGTTTTGTGCAGAATGATACTGACAGGTACACTCTGCTGTACTTAGATGAAATAGGAAGTTTTAATAATAATAGGAAGTCAGAGAGGTGTTTCTTACTCATTAAACAGCTGACACTAACACACATTTTTCAGTGACATCTGTAAAAATCCATGAAATTTCTACTGAAAGAACTTCACAGTGCTTTGTTGTTGTTGTTGTTTTAATGAGAAGTAATATAGAAAATAAATTGTAACGTAGTTTGGAAGACTTTTCACATCTTCTAACAGCACTGGTGATGCTAGCTCATCCCCAGAGAAGTTAGCTTATCTAGAAAAATATTTCCCAAACCTCAGACAGGTTGATAAGCTTTGCCATATCCACATACTACCTGTGCTATTATTTAAATTGACTCACTTTTCATAGAGAAAACTATGGGTAGTATTTTTCTAATTATATTAAAACCAAAAAACCAAACTCATTGCTGTCATGTCGAGTCAACTCGTAGTGACCCCTCCTTGGCTTTCCAAGGTGGTATCTCTAAGGAAGTAGATTGCTGTATCTTCCTTCTGAGGAGTGGCTGGTGGGTTTGAACTGCCAGCCTTCTGGTTAGTAGTCAAATGCCCTAGGCACTTCACCACCAGAGCTATTAAAATCAGTGCATAAATAAAATTTTAAATGTTTACCCATGTGCTGGATGTAAAGTCTTTTTACTTCCTACTAGAGACACACTTTGGGTGATGCAGATGAAAAACATTTGTGTTGGCTCAGATCTAGCTCCAGGCAAATACATATCTTAGAAAGATACCTGTCTACTTGGGTTTTCAAGTTTTTAAAATTTTAAAAATATATTTACTTTGACACACTGTATTTTAATATGTTGAATGAAAGAACCAAAGGAAAGTCTGCAACCTGAACTTTTCCTCTGTCACCTCAGCTAAGCATATAGAGAAAATACTTCTTTAGGGACACCGAGCTAAAATAGCAATGAAATGGATTTTCTAGATGTTTCTTTAAGATGGAGGTTTTTTTCTCATCTCTGACCATAGTATGTTCTTATACTGAAATAGCCAAAAATAAAGAGTAGAAAAACTTCTGAGTGGAAATAATTTATCTTTACATTCCTTGTTTCATGGATTTACTTGGTAAATAGATATAATAGGTACTTGGTAAGTGTTTTGTACAGACTTTGTATATTTGTAGTGACTACATGTGTTCATAATTTCAATGTGTAGTGGCTTTTCTCTCGTCCATTTTTCTCAGTTCATTACTTACTAACGTCCTAACAGATGACTGGCCCTTCTGAGTGGAGAGATCTCTTTTGTACTTGTTTCTTTGTCTTGTTGAAGCATTCCTTATGTTTGTTTCTTTCTTTTCCAAACATTAAATACAGCATGTCTAAACCCTTTAGCTGCACTAGTGTATTTTGCATAGATTAGAAATGAAAGAGATTTTACCTCTCATAAATCACAGCTTCTCTGGACCTCAGTTCCTTCGTCAATATATAAAGGGTGAGTTATTCTAAACGATCTCCTAATTTCCCCCAGGTTTAAAATCATGTAAGGCAATATTACAAAGGAATTGTAAAGGACATTAAAAAAATAACTGTCCTTTCCATAAAAGGAAAAGAGGTAGAATAGGTGCCAGTATTTTCCAAGCTCCTCTGCAGAAGGCCACCTGTGAACGGCCACCCAGAAGGTCATTTCAGTGGAAAGGGAAGTACTTGCTACTTATCAAGGCTTTAGGAAAAGTGGAAAATGGGGAGAATGTGTCCCTTCCTGTCTTCATTGCATGCATGCACACACACATATGCACACACACATTCCCACCCACCCATCCCTCTCCTACTTCACCTTCATCAGGCATTCCTACTCACCTTCATACTGATTCCTGGCTACCTGTTAAACATCTTTGTCAACCAGACTTGGTTGAGTAAACTTACTAGTTCTGATACCGAGTAACTAAATCATTTATTCCAGGTCATGAAAATATAGTTGCAGACATTAACGGGGTAAATTTTGTAATTTGATTTTCTTTCTGTAAGGGTTTTATGAAGAACATGAAAGATGGCATTCCTCCTTAAGTTATCCATTAACCAAATGTGATTTGGTGCATGATTTTTATTCTATTAATTGGCAAATTAAACTAAGAAAATAATTGTGTAACAACTGGAAATGGTGGAAAATGGAAAGAAATTCATAATACCAATTATATATATTAACTTAAATGTAAAACCATTCCTATTAGAGGTTTTGTTGTTAAAGATGAAAATTCTGTCTGAAGTCCCTGTTTTGTTTTCTTTTTTTGCCTTATAAGAAAATTTCCCTTTTAGCAAAAGGAATATAAAATCAATTTAAAGGTGTAATTTTTGTACAGAAAAATTGTAAGGCACAATCATAAAAACCATTATTTGATAGTCGCATCCTTATCTAAGCACGCATCTGCTAGTGTTTATTGTGACCTTGCACTTAATACCACAGTTGAGAATTGATTTAGATCACCCTCTCAGTCATACTAAAGATCGTCATCTGCTTAATCCAGTGAGGCTGTGACTCTCCGCTTCACATCTGTTGCTGTGGTAGAGTAATAACATTTAAGTGCCATGAAACCTATTTAAGATTTCCTACCTTCTTCCTCTTGCCAAATGTTAGAGATTGGTAGATTTGGGGTTGTTTTGACTTGGAGAAATAAAATGTTTTAAACAGGTGCCATACCATTAGAGGGAATGTGCTTGATTTCACTCTTTCTCATTGACTATAGAACCAGACAAAGGAGCTCTGGTGGCACAGTGGTTAAAAACATTTAGCTGCTAACCAAAAGGTTGGCAGTTCAAACCCACCAGCTGCTCCATGGGAGAAAGAAGAGGCAGTCAGCTTCTGTATAGATTTACAGCTGGAAATCCTATGGGGCAGTTCTACTGCCCTATAGAGTTGCTATGAGTCAGAATTGACATAATGGCGGTAGGTTTTTTTTTTTTTTAATAGAACCATGCAAAAGAGAGTTTATGAACACAGATTTTTAATAACTTGCTGGCCAAGATTCAAGCTATTTCTTTCCCTGCAATGAGCCAGACAGTGCCAAATTAGTTCAGTTTCTGTGACTATTCTTTACTTTTCAACTTGTCACCTATAACATGGCTGATGAAACTGACTGTGGAGAAGAGGCCTATCCTACACTTGAATTTCTACCTGCAGGTGTAGTTGGTAGGGCCACCCCTCAAAAGCCTGTTACTAGGAAGTGGTAGGTGTATAGCCAGATAATTCAGTTGATATGAAATTAGGTACATTTGTATACTGGAGAAAAACACCAATCTAACACCTTTACTCAGTTCCTAGCTAGCAAGGTTTCCTGCTCTGGTTCTCTGATTAATTGTCTTGACTCTTACATTTGACCTGTGTCTATTCCGAGGTACTTTCATTTAAGTTTATTAGGCATCATCTCCTGCCACACGCAAAAGCTGACCCTAATGTGCAAATCAGTTTCTAAAGATGAGCTGATAGAAATTGAAACTACTGTTGAGAAGAAGAAATATTTAGCACTTGAAATATTTCAATATTCCATATAAAACCATGTTTCTTGTACTACTAGCAGGCTCTCTGTAACATTAACATAATTTTTCTTTGAGTATATGACTTACTTGAGTTTTCTATCTTCAAATGAAATAAATTATTTTATATAAAGGCATTTTAGTTTTTCACTTTTGGCTTAAGCATTTGTAACATTTTTCAGTTTTGGGGTACTTGGAATTGTCAGCATTTTTAAAAGATTATAATGGTAACATTTTTGTGTGTGTGTGACTGACATCTTTTGGTACAAACTACCAATCCTCAGATTTGGTCAAAATACTATTTCGTCCTTTTTACACTGTGTTCTTTGGTCAGTGAAATCCATGTATGTTTAAATATATATATGTATGTGTGTGTGTGTGTGTGTGTATGGAGCTCTGGTAGCATAGTGCCTAAGGCACTTGACTGCTAACCAGAGTCTGGCAGTTCAAACTCACCAGCCACTCCTCGGAAGGAAGGTTGGGCAATCTACTCCCGTAGTAATACCGCCTTAGCAACCTAAGTAGAGGTCGCTATGAGTTGGGTCCGACTTGGCAGACATAACAACAACAACAACATATACACACACAGATTTATATATAGACACATGCACATACACACATATATATGGAGCTTTGGTGGCATAGTGTCTAAGGCATTGGACTGCTAGCCAGAAGGCTGGCAGTTCAAACCCACCACCTGTTCCATGGAAGGAAGATGGGCAATCTATTCCATAAAGATGTACTGCCTTGGAAACCCAGTATGTATTTATACACACACACACAAGGCATACTGACAGTATTAAAGAGGAATTTCCAGAAAGATTATTTAACATTCTTATTGGACCCTCAACCAGATATGAGTTCAACTAAATTGCAACTTGAATAAATATTTCACATTTCATTCAATTAATGCCCATAACCTGTTTACTGTTAATATTTCAGTAGCACTTGGACATTAAGGTATAAGAGCTGGCCACAATCATAACTCTGAGCTCATTATACTTTGTCCTTCCTTCCGTACTACATCATCACAATATTTCTTAAGTCATTTGAAACTCTGTTTTTCTTTGTTATTTTTCTGTGTAACCATATAGTTTATAGAATTATAGGAATTTTGGAAGCTGGACACAATTTACATTGAGGATCAAAAGTCTGTGCGTGTCCTTGGTTATTTTTGTGATTATCGTAACGCTGTAGTTGTTAGGTGCTGTCAAATCAGCTCTGACTCATAGCAGCCCTATGTGCAACAGAATGAAAGACTGCCTGTTCTTGCGCCATCCTCACAATCCTGGCTATGCTTGATCCCATCATTGCAGCCACTGTGTCAGTCCATCACAACATAG